GCGCCTCGTGCACGAGCCTACTATTGAAGCTGCCATTGAGCTTTTGGCCTGAGGGGGCAATTGCGAGCATAAAAATTCAAAACTCCATAAAGTCCCTTTAAATTAGGAAAATTTCACAGGCCGTGTCTGAAATGCAAGGTCTGTCTTCCCTTCTTGAACTGAGCACCTGCTCTGCATGATCAGAAATCTTTTGGGGGGCTTGCAGAGGAGGCGACAGACTCAGGGCTGTTTAAATGTTGTTTTGAAGGTGGAAGTTGCGCTCCACTGCCACACACACACTCCTAGCTCCTGTCCACTTGGCGAGATGCGTAGAGAAAGATGTCCAAATGTGACACAATGCTCTGATGGGAATCTTTTCTTGATTGATTGTGCTACCTCTGTGATGAACTCTGTGCTAATGTTTAAAGGGGAAGTTTTGGCTTGCTTTTAGCACCCCCTAGTGTCCGTTTGTAGAACCAAAAGCAAAACTTGTTGCTGTGCATTCGTCTTTTTAACATCTTGACCTAACAACTCAAATGCCTCCCCAGCCTTCCCTAGTGTCGCCATAAGTGATTCATCACTAAATTAAACAAGTCAGCTGGGTTCATGATCTAAAACATGCAGGAAATGTGCTGGAACCAGAGCAGCTCGCCAGTCCGAAGTTGCAAGTAGAATATTTTGGCCACAGGGGGCGATAGGGCCTGGCTGGCCTTTCATTAATCCTGTAAAGGGTCATTTTAGCACATGCTGGCTCAAGAAATTTATTTAAAAATATGAAAAAGTTGCAAAGTATCCCTTTAAAATCTCTGCACACCTGCAGGAGTTGGAGTGTTAACTGCAATCTGTCAAAATAATGGCCAGCCTTAATATTTTTCCATTACCATTACAAGAAAAAAGGTCAAACACGGTATGAAAAATATCTGATTATTGCGACCCCTGCTCACCGTAAAACAGGCATTTTATCCAGTACTGTTAATAGCAGGAAGTATCTCTTAGTGTGAAGTTTGTTCTACACGTACATTTACTTTCACTTTACTTTTGTTTTATATTTAGACACATCCCCTCTGTTACCACAGCACCCCTGTGCAGGTAAAAAGAAAAACTCGGTATAAAGGCCCCTGGACTTGGCTCCCGTGAATCATCCTGTGAGGAATCATCTAAAAATGGAGGTTAAACGCCCAATCCTCCTGTCCGTGTCATGAAATTTTCCGTAGCTTCAGCTGCTTCCTGTCGTGGTCTCCTCCATGGGTTCTGAACATCAACAGAGCTGGACGGGAAGTTGCACGGAGTTTAATCTGCTTAAATGAAGACTCATTCAGGGTTGAGTGAATTATTAATTCCTTTGTTTTTTCTCTCCTTTTTCTTCTCAGCCCACAGCAAAGCTGCAAACAAGCCCTATAGTACGGTTTACTCTGACAGGATTAAATGTAATCCCTGTACAATAATTTGGACTCATGATTTCTGGTACAGCACAGAACGTTCCCCTCATCTGTCGGCATTCTAGCACTGATTTACCACCTGCTACAAATGTCAGATGGAGAGGAAATGAAAATACTTGAAAGTATAAAGCAATGAGTCTGTGGGTCAAAATTGTGTGTCCTCTAAGTCAGGTTACAGCCGTTTACATCTTGACGTTTACATCCAGGCTATTGTCTAATCGAGAGAAAAAAAAAAACACCTGCTTTTAACAAAAATATGAGTCTCGTTTATCTTATTGATAGATTTAAACTCTTGTGTCCATAAAGCCGCGTGTGAAGTGACTGGGATGAGAATCAGCTCCTCTAAATCCGAGACCATGGTCTTGATTCGGAAAAGGGTAGAATGCCTTCTCCGGGTCAGGGACCAGGTCCTGCCTCAAGTGGAGGATTTAAGTATCTTGGGGTCTTGTTCGCGAGTGAGGGGAAAGTGGAGCGTGAGATCGATAAGTGAATTGGTGCTGCTTTTGCGGTGATGCGAGCGTTTTACCGGTCTGTTGTGGTAAAAAGAGAGCTGAGCCAGAAGGCAAAGCTTTCGATTTACCGGTCGATCTACGTTCCCCTCACCTATGGTTTACGTTTATTTATTTAGCAGATGCTTTTATCCAAAGCGACTTACAATTTATAACCTATAGGGCATGTTGTGATCTGTGGGGGAAACCGGAGTACCTGGAGGAAACCCACGCATGCATGGGGAGAACACGCAACTCCACGCAGAAAGGCCGCAGCCGAGTTTCGAACCTGCAACCTTCGTGCTGCGAGGCAACAGTGCTAACAACTGCGCCACCATGTGGTCATGAGCTTTGGGTAGTGACCGTAAGAATGAGATCGCGAATACAAGCAGACAAAATTAGATTTCTCTGCAGGGTGTCTGCGCTCTCCCTTAGAGATAAGGTGAGAAGCTCAGTCATCCGGGAGGGGCTCAGAGTAGACCTGCTGCTCATTGAGAGGAGCCAGTTAGCTCGAGCATCTGGTTAGGATGCCTCCCTGGTGAGGTTTTCTGGCCATGTCTAACCGAGAGGAGACCCAAGGGTAGACCCAGGACATGTGGAGAGACGATGTCTCTCGGCTGGCCAGGGAACGCCTTGGGATTCCCCTGGAGGAGCTGGCCCAGGTAGCTGGGGAGAGGGAAGTCTGGGCCTCTCGGCTTAGGCTGCTGCCCCCGCGACCCGACTCCGGGTAAGCGGATAAAAATGGATGGATGACCATAAAATAAAACCAGCAGGATTGGACCATGTTTTGTAAGTCTCCATGCAAAACAAACATTTTCCACATAAAATGCAGCTTAGCTTTATATGAAATACATTAAAAAAAATTCCTAACATGGCCTGATTTTCTGACTTTATAAACATGTATTTTAAATATTTTAGCCAAAACGCTAAAGATTTAGCCCTGACTCTAAATGTAGACTCATTGAGTCTTAAAAAAAAAGTCTGCAGGACTTTATAGACTAATCTCAGACCAGCACTCATCAAAGTAACTAGCGCCTTAACCTTTAAGAAGTTACCATATTTAATTATACATATTCAAATCACAGCATATCAAAAATAATTTAACTAACTGGAGCACGTCTCAGCTTTTCCTCCTCTAGATATTTTTTTTTGTTGCTTAGCAGGATCTTGTATCTGCATTCAGAGCCAGGAGAGTTCCAACAGAGGGCGCTCACGCAGCTAGTTTTAGCGTCATGAGGGGGAAGTGTGGCAGTGGCACAGTGATTTCAGCCAGCAGCCAGCAGCTGCTGCACTGGAGGCACACACAGGTGATGGCAGTGTTTCCTCACGTTCCCTACCTCCACCCCCGATCAGGAGATGCTGCATAAGTCCACATCCTTTTACATTTGAGCAGCTAGAGACACACGTGTCTGCTGACAGGTCGGCCAGATGAACTTCCAGGAGATGAGTTTGCTGCGAGCTGATGTCGGGTTTATACATGTGACAGAAAGTGCTGACTCCTCAGCAGGAAGGGTCGGGTTTTAAAGCTACAGCTTTGTGTGAGACCAGGATCGATGCAGAGATGGAAATGGCAGCTGAGTCCCACCGCAGTCCACCCATCCTTTTCCTCGTCCCCATCTCTGAGACACATCGGTGTTGTTTACACTTGCACAAGTGGAGCAAAGCCTCTGAAACCTCATTCCCTTTTAATTGTGTAACGGCTTTTAAGACTAAATTAGAAAAGTGAAGTTTTTCTTTTCTGCTTAGTTTTATTCTATAGACCAAGCCTCCATATTTAGTTCTTATTAGTTGTGTTCTTAATCCCGTTTTCACTCTGCCGTTGGACTCCTCTCATTTCCCCCTATCTCATCATCTCTCAGTTCAAAGCAGCAGCTGGAAATGGAACCAAGAGCGGAAACAGCAGAAAGGAATGAAGATAGGAAATGCAGGGGTCAGAAGTTTTCAGGGAACTCTGAGAACAATAGCGTCCTTCATATCCGGTTCTGTTACACATGGAGAATCTCTTGAGTGTGTTTTTTGTGCATCATGCTTCTGTTACCATGTTTGATTGTTTTAACTGTGCCTTGTGTCAGGTTGTAGCAGCTGCTCTGTTTGTCAGCTTATGGGACAAATAGAGAAAGACAGAATGGAAAGTTTTTAAGAACAGGCTCAAGGCTCACCTTTTTGGCTTAGCTTTTAACTGATTACTTTTATTATCCATTATTTATTTATTTATTTATTTATTGTTTTATTTATTTTACATGTTTTATTTAATCAGAGTTTTAATATCTTATAGAGATTCACCTTTTAGCTTAGCTCTTAACTGATTATTTTTATTACCGATTTATTCATTTTATTTATTTATCTTTATACGTTCTATTCTATAACAATTTTACCATCTTATATTTTAACCTTATTTCATCCTTTTCCAGTGTTTCCTCTGTGGGAGCCCTCTGCCCCGGGGGCGGTGGTCGGCTGTGGCGGGCTGGGTGCTTACCGGGTGTGCCTGGGTGGAGGTGGGGGGTCTCCGCCCTCACTCCCCTGGGCCCCGTGTGTCGGTGCCTCGGCTGCTGCTGTGGATCTGCTGCTGTCCGGGCAGGTGGCTCCCCAACTTAGCTTGTCTGGTTCATCTGAGCTCAGCCCATTGTGTTCCATTTTTTTATCTTATGTCTATAAGTGTGTGTGTGTGTGTGTGTGTGTGTGTGTGTGTGTGTGTGTGTCAGATGATGAGTGTAATGGGGGATATCATTGTCATACTGCTTTTATATTTATGGGTAGGATGGGAATGTGGGGTCATTTTAATTTGTAAAGCACTTTGAGTTGCATTTATTGTATGAATTGTGCTTTATAAAAAAAGTTTGATTTGATTTGAGGAAAAGTGGCGCAGATTGAGGTGGCCGCTGTCTCTAAATACCCTTCTAGTTTAGTTTTTCTGTTTATATCTGTAGTAGATTTTTATCTGGGAGAAGGGAGGAGCAAAGATGACTCTTGTCAGATGGGTCATGGAGCTGGGATTGGGTGGGAATAAAATCATAACAATGTATAGATTTGATTAGATTATTTAACCTTTTTTGATGAATTAAAATTCTTATGTTCTTAAATGTCCTCCTCACAGGGCTTCCTGATTGGCGCTCGACCCGAAAATGCCTGCGTGCCGATCGAACCGCCTCCCAGGGACAACCTGACAGGCGCTTTCTTTGTGCTCATCAAACGATTTGACTGCAACTTTGACATGAAGGTACTTTTTCTGAACTGGATTGCTCCTGCTGAAAGTGGACCACACCCTAGATGGAGCACCCATGTGTGATCACAAGTTTACACCAGGAACATGGGACGCCAAACTCTTTATATGAACTTAAACACCAGGAAGCAACCACATTGTAGGTTATTGGCTGTGGATTTATAAAAATGTTAAGCTTTGTGACATCCTACACTCTTCTGTGTTGCTCTACAGTGCATTTAAGACAGCAGGGGTGTTTCTGAGTTAGCTTTTTCTGGAGCCTGTGGATCAACCAGTTGGAACAGAAAAACAGGAAGCAGCTATTTCCCTAAATACAATTTCCTGCTTGGTTGTGCAGCACACTTGGCCTGCTTCTCTTTCCTTTCCTGCTGTTTTTTTATGCTGAATAAAAAGAGTAAAAAAGTTGTGTCCACCTGAATAGTTAGCAAAGCAGTCAAAAGCTAAAGAAAAACGAGGCATTAGTGGAGCATCGGGCCCGGTGCTGAGAGACTAGTGAGGGCTGTTTGTGTGTGAGTGTGTGTCTGGAGCGGACGGCTTTGGAGGAAGAGATAGCTTACATGTTGACAGAGTAGAGCAAAAATAGAGGAGCGTAAAAAGTCAGGTCAATCAACAAAGAGAGAGAAAAATCCTTCTTTTTCTAGTTGAAGCCAGGTTGCTGGAAACAGCATTAGTCAATCCAGATTGGAATCTGGACCGAACTGGGTCACTGGCAGAGGCAGGTCTTTGGGGAACAGAACATTACTTTTTCATTTGTCACTTGTTTTGGTCAATAAAAGTCTGTGTGTTCCTTTAGAGAGAGGGGTGGTACGTAGTTGTAGCGATTGTAATGAATTAGTAGACCTACATTCGTTGAGTTGGGGGCTCATGTTGGCTCAGTACGTGTGGTTTATGTACATGTTGAGTTAGCTAATTTTTCATTTTAGTTGCAATCGTTGTAGTAAACAGCTAATAGCCACTGTTCTAAGCTGTGTGTTTCCACCGGACTCGGAGCGGCGGGCCTTGGAGACGTCCCAGAAATATAGTGTTGCGTTGCTCGGATAAATTTATGTTTATTGTTTGGCAGACCCTTTTATCCAAAGCGACGTACAATTTTAACCTATAGGGCATGTTGTGATCTGTTGTGATCTATGCGTCGGGTCTTTTTATTACCTGCTTCCAGAAGCTCAGTAAGTCAAACCCAGGAGCAGTTTAAAACGTTGCCAACTTTCAAAATAAAAGACACATACATATTTCCTATTGCTTAATTAGTTAAAATGAAAAATAAAAAATATCATTACCTGCTGTGACGCCTCCATCGCTATAAAATAAATTACAGAAAATAAACCACAGACCTTTTTAAAACATGCTCCTGTCTTTCTCCTTGTCTGTTATTGTGTGAAGTGTTGAAATTGCGCGTGATTTTGTAATTCTCCTATAAATGTTGTGACCTTGCGGGACCAGCTATGTGGAACGCTGTTGCTGCCAATGCTTGTCAGGAAAACGTTCCTAATGAGAAGGACGCACTGCTGAGTTTGCTGGTAAAACGTACATTACGCGCCGCTTATGCATCTAGTGGAAAGCCGGTGTGAGACTCAGGATTTTTTTAAAATATTCCAAATTGCAGTAACATAAAAACAAGGACCCTTGACTCAACACGAGGAACCTGAGAACATTTTTGAGACATTTGAGGAACTTTTTTGCACATACCATTCAGTTTTTTCTCCAAATGTCATGTTGCTGGTTAACCTCTTAAATGTTGTTTTTTACTTTTTGCATTTGGTCTGAAACTTTTAATTGCTTTCATCTTGCTTCATTAACTTCATCGCTCTTTTCTTTTTCTCTGTGCTCTTTTTTCAGCTTGTTGATGTAACTCTGAAACAGCTACGTCCTTATAAGGCCTTACTGCATCACACACACGCACACGCACACGCACACGCACACGCACACACACACACACACACACACACACACACACACACACACACACACACACACACACACACACACACACACACACACACACACACACAAAGCTGGGATGTCTGCTGAACTGTTACTAGACTCCACATAGCCGTGTGTCAGACACACTTTCTGACCGGTGTGAGCTTTAACATTTACGATAAACTCCTCTTTTTCTTCTAGTTGTATTTTTATTTTGCTAACTCCATCTGGTCTCAGAAGCAGGATTTATGGTAATGCTGAGCAGGTGTGTGTGTGTGTGTGTATGTGTGTGAGTGTGTGCATACAAAGTAAAAATACCAAATGAGTGGTGTTTTTGTGTTTTTATGATTTACCCAGAACACATTCAGGCCTTTGCTTTTATTTTAGACTTGTCTGATAATTCACGTCTCTCTAAAACAGTTAAAGTAATAACTTCATGATTGAATCTTTATACTTTTTGGCCACATTCTGACCTTATTATTATACATCAGTACGACACATTTACCTATTATCACTCTTGAACAGAAATTTTCTGTTTAGTACAATTTTCCGTAATATGAAAAAATATAAAGTTATTGATAAAAGTGGGACAAATTGCTCTCCTCTGGAAGAAGTGGATGCTGTGTTGTTCTGGTTAAGATCTGCAGTTGTTTTTGAATGGATGGATTGTAATTTTTCTTCTTTTTCTTTTTCTTCTTCTCCAATTTTCTCTCCCAGTCTTCGTCTGTTTGGGAGGTCTGGTTCAGCCTATGCCCTAGAGATTGGTCATATCTACAGACATCACCACACACACATGTAGTGTGATCCTTCTTTTTGCTAAAAACAAACAAACACACACAATCTTTCTTTTTCCCCTGCCTGCAGGCTTTGTCTCTACATCGCTCTTCGCTCCTTTTCTTCTTATCCTGTCTGTCTCTTCTTAAATCTTCTTGGCCATCTTCTGAGCACACGTTGTCGCTGCCATGTGGCTGTCGACCTTTCAATCACACACACACACACACACACACACACACACACACACACACACACACACACACACACACACACACACACACACACACACACACACACACACACACACTCTGCACAAAAACTCCCCTTCCGTCTTCCCTCCCTCGCCTTTCAGCTGGGTTCTGTTCCCTCCAGAAGCTGCAGGGAAACAAAGGATTAATAGATTCCATCCTTTGAGTGAGAAGAAGCACTTGGTGTGCTGGGGTGTCGCCCCCAACATGCCCACATGGTGCCGATTCACTCTCGCTCACTCTTTCTCTCTCTCTCTCTTTCCCTCTCATATCCTTTTGCAGCCTCCTGCAGCTGTTGCATCTAGCTGTTAGCATCCAGTGAGAACCAACGCAGTTTTAATGGATCTGCAGCCATAATGGCCAATAAAACACACACTCACCCACTTAACCTTGCTTGAAGTGTTATTTCACGTCCCCCCATGGAGTGTGAGTGTGTGTTCACAAGTGTAGAGTTGTGATGAGAGATGGCACAAAGGGGGTTGCATGTCGAGGGGATGAAGGGGATCAATTTAAGAGATGTTATTAAGCATACTCACTCTTTGTGTGTGTGTGTGTGTGTGTGTGGGGGGGGGGTAGCATTCCTCTGCTGTTTGTTGAGAATCTCAAGAGAGTGAGGCTTTGCACTTCCTGTTTGGTGGGATTCTTTGACGTTTGGGGGCGCCCCTGTGGTGACCTGCCTGCCATGTTTGGAGAGTTGACAGGAAATTCAGACCCCCCCCCCCCCCTCTAAAATTTTTGCTTCTCATCCTTTTTTATAGATTTGCTGAGTGCCCATTTAACCTCCTGTTTTTGCCTTAGTCCCTCATGAACATCAGCACACAACGCTCACCTCCGCTGACACATGACATAGGAGGTGGATTTAATGCAACATGTCCATTCAGACTGAAGTTGTTTTAAAAAACATCAGATATGTATCTGATTCAGTACCACATGTGAAAGTGACCTGGATGGATTTGAAAAAATCAGATCTGTTCTGTTCAGACAAAAATAAAGATCAGTTATGGGTCATCTGTGGGGGAAAAAACCCCAGCCTTAGTAACTGAACTAACGTACTATATGTCCAACCCTGTAGATATTGGGAGTAAAATTGAATCGTTACTTCTGACTCCTGTTTATTTTCTCTTGGTTAAATTAAATAGGATGACAGATGAAAATGACTAAATAAAAGTATGTAAACAAAGGAAATATTGAGTCAAGATGGAAGTCTGAAATGCAATATTTTAGCTTCATGAATAGTGGATTCTGTTTTTGTTTAAGCTGCTAACAGGTGCTTTTCTTCATTTTGGTAAGTAAGCTAGCTGTGTGCAACGCCTACAGTAAATAAAGCATTCAGCTAGTCTGACCTGTTTCCCTGACATGTTGATGCTTTTATCCGTTCTCGTAAAGGTTTTTTCTGTAGTTTTATGACAAGTTATCATTAGACCCTAACTGGAAGTGATCAGATCTAAGTAGAATTGAATCAAATTCACAACTAGGAACAACAAGTTGTTCGTTGATGCAACCAGTGTAAGGATGCAAAACTATTAGCGAGATAAAGGTCAGAGTCTCTTATATTACTGGAAGGTGTGGTGCTCTGAGGCTCCTGCTTCTTTAGTTTATTATCAGCGAATGATGCTTGTCTGCAGATTAGCAGGGAGTGGTACTTAAGCAAAGCCATATTTTCCCTGTAACAGGTGGGAAACGGTCCCGGCTGTCCGGTTCGAAAAGTCAGAGATTTTGCTTTCAGAAGCCGCAGACGGACTTGGTCAGGATTTTGGCTGAGTGGTAATTTCCCCTCTAACCTCGCCTACCTCTTCCTCTCAGTAAATGATTTTCATAGTGCAGTCTGTTTGTGCTGCAATGACCTATGGCCCTCAAGACACACACGCACACACACACACACAGGCTTCTGTCTGTGCTCAGACAACCATCTGGTTTCCTGCGCGCGCTAGCTCAGTCTTGTGACAGGGTATGACTACAGCCGACTGGATGTATGACTAACTCAAATGTGTGCGTTTAAGGAAAAAGCAGCAGCACACTAACTATATCTCTTGTGTTTTTGCATGTGTACTATGT